TGGATGTGATTGAAAATATTATTTTATTGAAGAATGTGTGGTTGAAAATGAGTAGAAGAATGAGAATGAAAAAAATAATGTGTACCAAACAGGGCCTAAATCAGAGTTCAAATTAGAAGTATGTGTTGAAAGTTATGTATTAATAATTTAAATTATTAATAAATAAAAATAAGTGATTGGTAAGTGATGTAATCCAATTTTCAATAAAGCCATTTGTCAATGTTAAAAAATAGATCATTATAAACAGGCTGACTTGGTAGTGTATGCGTGGATGTTTTTATTTTTTATTTTCAAACTGTTCAATTATGTATGAACACGTGTCCCTTCTATTTTTGAGTCTATCCTTGAGTCTATTCATGTAGCATGAATGTCCAATTTTTGTGTTGACCAACCTGCTGCAAAAATTTGCAAGTTTCCATTTGTCAGATTTAGATGACAAGTGCAACCAAAATAAAATAATAATAATGCAGAATAATGTTATTTATATTGAAAATTATCGATAGTCGTCCTATGTTGCATACACATGACAGTTTGTTATTTAATGCATTAATGTGAAAAAATTTTATTGTCTCATTTATCAAATAAAAAATTATCATATATATATATACCACGTACGACAACTATCCATAATTTTACTATGAATAATATTATTCAAAAAAAAAAAAAAAAGGTGTAACCAAAATCAGAACCCCCAATTTCATATATGTATACAGAGAGGAAATTAAAGGTGGATTTCTTATCCCAAAAACCCACGCTTTTTGGGCCGCGAGAAAGCCCATTCTCATGTGAATGTTTTAGCGGGCCCCACTTTTTAAAATGCTTAGAGCCGTTGGTCAGCAATCATTTACCTCATATTCAAACTCAAAAATGGCGTGAGTTTTTTGGTAATTCCAAAAGAAAAGACAAGAAAATAATAATTTTGTTGGTCACGCAAACACTGACAAACTAATATGAAAAATAAAAAATATGACCATTATCCATCACATCGGCAATCATTTACTTCATACGTCTCCGTTTGTTTATCATTTTTCATCTATAAAAATGAAAAATATGATTGTTATCCATTACATCAAGCCATCAATTTTGAATTTCTATCTCTTGTGTGGGGCTCAATAACGATTATATTTTTCATTCACATTTTACAATAATGAGAATCAAACGAAGGCACAATTACATATTTTGTTCTC